GCAGAATGTGCTTTCAAGCACTCAAGGCACATTACAAAGGCTGAGCATGTGTTTGGCTATAAAACATCCTTCAAAACGTTCCAAGGGGTTGATATCCCAGGACCACTTTCTCTGACAGTGAAACAATGTTACTAGAAAGTTCTACCACAATAATAACAATGACGAAAACCACATAGTTGTGCTGCCATGGCATAACTCTTGGAATAAACAAGCGATGATGGAGATTAGAAAAATACACCATAAGCAGATGAAAGTGAAAGTGAAATACTTTATTAAATGTAGGGAGCCTGGTGCTGTGCTGTGAGTCTGTCACCCCAAAGACTAAGGAGGCTAACACAGGACAGTCTTAAGTTTGAGGCCAAACTGAGTGACATAATGAGGCCCTGTCTCAACACAAATGGGGTATGTCTTTTCAGTGATATTTATAGAAAAAAAAACTACAGTGTAAATGCTATAAATAGCTATCATGGCTGACATGCCTTAAAAATCTAGAAAATCTGGAGATGAACAATTATCCAGCTGAAGAAGTTAGAGAGAGAAAAATACATTGAGGCCAAGTGATTAGAAGGAAAGAGATAAACAGACGTGAATAAGCAAGATAAAATCCACATGCGGGAAGATCAACAAAGCCAACAGCTTGGTGAAAATATCAATAAAATCGGGGAATGCATAGCACGCTTGGTCACTGTGGGAAACAGTAAAGGCACAGATAAACAGCCCTGGGAATGAGAGAGAGCAGGGGCAAAATGTAGATGTTACAGGCATGAAGTAACACCAATAAAATTGAAAACCAAGATGAAAGGTACAAATTCCTCAGCCCTGCTGCTTATCAAAACTGACACAAGAAGAAATGAAGAGCCCTAATAGTTCATAAGCCTCAAATCCCTGTAATCAGTAGTTAAAAATGTTCTCACAAAGGAAGCAGCAGTCTGGAGGGTGTTGCCTTGAAGTTCTAACAAACCTTCAAGAGGGAGAAAAAACATCAAGACTCACATAAAGATTTCCGGGATATAGGATTGGTGGGAACACCTCACCACTTAATCTGTGAGGAGCCACAGCTCAGCAAAGATGGCAGACTAGGATCAAGTGGATTTGGGCAGCATTTAAGACTTAATATGGGATGTGAGAGATGAGGTAGAAGTCTGCAGTGACATCTATGTAACTAATCCCCCAGCCAGAGAACACGAAGGCCTGGGCTTAGAAGATATTCCACTGGAGAACAAGAATGGAGCAGGATACCCAGAGAATGGCCTGGGATGACAAGGTCTCAGGGACCAACTAGTAGGCCTCATGAATAAAAGAGGGTCCATGAAATGAAGGCAAGTGGTGGGGGCTAGATGGTGTCCTGGTACAGGAAATAAGTATGTATGGCCTGGGGGGGGGGCAGGACTAGGCAGAAGGAGTGCTGTGACATTACCCACCCCCATTCCCCCACCCCCTGCCCCCAGATGCCCCATGAGCAGGGTCTGGAAACCAGAGTTCCCCTGTGTCCGGCTTTGAGCCACAAACATTTCCTGCAGAAAACAAGAAAGTCAGTCTCTTGGCCCCACTGTGCTCTGCATATCAGTGCGACAGTGTGAGCTTAGCTTGTAAAATAAACACTGTGGCAGGTCCAGGTCTAAGAAGAGCTAAGAACACCATGGGGAAGAGGTGGGTGTGGGTTCTGTAGAGAGTCAGGGGACCCTAAGGAAGCCAGTGGGGGGGCCCAGGCAGGGCCAGGCAACAGAGAGAAAGAGAGGTGGGGCAGGAACCAGAACTCTGGGGTTCTTGTTATAGGGATAACAAGATGGCCTGTACTATCTTGGATTGCCATCCGTCCTGACTACTGTAGCCCCTGGACAAGGCCACTGGCCCTTACCCAGCCTTGACTCTCAGAGCTGATTCCAGCCTCATTTCCAAAGGACCTTCACACTTCTGAAATGTTCTTCCCTTACCCACATCTGTGACTGCTACAAACCAGCTCTTTGTATAACTTGCTGTGTGACCACAGGAGACTGCTGGATTTTTAGAACAATGGAATCAGTAATATTCAGTGGTTATACAAAGGGAGCCCATGGACATGGCTCCCTGGTATAAGTCCCTGGCCTAGGCCTAAGGAAACTCCTGGTCAGGGGAACTGAAGCACCCCTGAACAAGTTCAGCTGGCTTCTCCTGGAAATCCCTTACAAGGTGGACACCCCAAATCTCCTTGGGTCCTTAGCCTGATCCTCTTCTGAGGGTTTGGTCCAGCTGTTTGTGAGTGGGATTCAGCCTTGCCATGTGGGTTGACTATGGTGGGACACATTTCACAGCTGAGGGGCTAAGCTAAGCTAGGCAAGCTGCTGGGCACTGGAGACTTGACTTTGGCCAGCCGCAGCTGGCCTGGAGGTGGGGGAGGGAGGGGCTGTCAGCAGGGAAGCCCAGGGGCTCTGGCTGGACTCAGCCAGGCTGGCTGGCACTGGCTGGGCTCTGGGACTGCTGGGCTCCCAGGGATTTCCTGTCCCTTACTTCCCAAGGTCAGCAGGATTGCGCTTGGGTTGTTTCTGGTCCCGATGGTTAAGTTGATAACTGTGATGATGTGGGGCCCCGGCCATGCCATCGTGCCCTCTGGGCCCAGCAAAGCTCTTTCCCAGGGTCTGTCCCCACAGGGGGCAGTGGTCCCGGACAGGGGAGGGACTGGGCAGGCTGCCACAGGCCGTTTGGGTCAGTGCATCTTTGACAGCCTCTTGATGTACAATGGGGGTCCAGGCTAGAGCCCTGGGAGGTGCCTTGGCTTAGTGTGGACCATGGCCTTGGACAGAGGACTCACTCCTCCATCTTAACCATCTTGAGGCAGGGGACGAAGATGAAGAGTGATGCCCATGAGGTGTTTTTGCAGGATCCCAGCATCCTTGCAAACCTGGCTCAGAGCCCAGACAGGGCCAAGGTTACCAGGAGCTCTGAGGATCGACCTAGCTTTGTTCCTAAACTTTGTTCCCAGAGACCATGGACTCTGGAAAACCAGCCCTTTGTTGTTGTTCTGATCTGATGAAACACTGGCACGTACTTCTGCCCTGCTCCTGCCCCTGGACCAGTACAGGCTTCACCTTGGTTACAGAGTTGTGACCTGGCTCTTAAACCCCAAACTGCTGCTGGGCAGCCGTATCTTGAGTTTGGAAAGGGGGACACTGGTAGGAGATAACACCAGTCACCTTCTGTCACTTACAGGAGACACTAGGTTTCTGGTCTGAGTTTGAGGGATAGCCTGTTCTATGGGTAATGGGGAAAAGGGGAAAGCAGAACAGTTAGAATGGGGTAGAACTCGATCGGGTCGGGAATTTGTGGTGGTGGGGTTATTGGGACTGGAGGCTACTTTTACATTTCTGGGGAGAGAAGGCTCACATTCCTAGGATTTGGTCTGGGATATCTAGGGATCGGAGAGACCTCCCTGGTTCCTTCCAGCAGTAGGGGTGGCCAAGAAAGGTGGCCTTGATCAGGAAAGATGTGGGGCTGTCTGAGGAGGTTGAGTAGGAGACTCAAACCAGGGCGTCTGTCACTGGTTCAATAGGCCCATATGCAAAAAGAGAGAAGCCAAGAGTATCCTTGATCCTGTAGACAAATGACAAGGCTCCCAAGCCACCACTGAGCCTAGGCCTTGGGAACTGAACACTCTGAATATCTTTCCCATCCTGACAGATGTGCACAATCTTTGTTCTAGCCGGGCGGTCTGCTGGTCAAGGGCCACAGTACCTCCCTGCTCAGGTCCTGGATGCTACAGGTTAGGCCAGACCCTGCAGTGAGACTCAGTGTTGGATATATACATCCCCAGGGTCTCAGAGAATATCTAGAGTCCAGACCATGCCCCCTCCTGATTCTATTTATGGGCCACAGACCTCTGTGGCTGCCCCAGACTGGGGACACATGCTAGCGAGGAGCAGAGAGGCTTCTGAGCCTAGTGCCTAAGACGTGTTTAGGAAAAGAAAGCTGGCTTGTCCTATGTGGGCCAGACTATCCTTGCCTACCTGCCCAGCTGCAGCCCATATTGGAAGAGAGCCAGAGCCAGGCGTTGCTAGGGCAACCCAGCAGCAACCACACTCCCCACTCAACTGAAATTCCACTATTTTTAGCCTCCTAGTTATGTTCAGATAAAATCCTTGTATACAGACGAGTTGTCTGGCAAGATAACAGCACACCTCAAACTGCAGAGACTTCAAAGAGTAGCAGTGGGTTGTACCATGGGCCCAAGAAAGCTCCCCTGGTGAGTCAGAGCCTCCAGTGGCTCGTGAAAGGTGAGGTGTTCGGCACAGAACACAGAGGGCAATGGAGTAGTCTAATGGCTTAGCTAATGTCAACTGTGACATTCTGGGATATGAGACTGTGGACAGCCAGTGTACAAGGAGCTGCCATAGGGTATGCACTCTACTCTAGGTAGAAGCCTATAGTAGTGGATGCTAAAAATAGCCTGGCCAGGCAGATCCAGCATAGCCTACCACAGTATCTTGAGCTGGACTTTCACCACCCATTCAGGTCCTGGGTAAATAGAGGCCAACACCATTCAGGAATCCACCCTAGCCAGGTTCTGAGTCTTCTGAAGGCTTGAATACACAGAGCAAAGACCCTAGATAGATGGCCTATGGGGAGGCTGATGTGAGCCCAGCTGTAGCCATCTCCTGGACACAGCCAGGAGGCACTTAGAGCAAAAAGCTCTAAGGGTAAAGGGTGGAGGGAAAGAGCCAGGTCATGTTCAAGGCTTCAGTGTGTCTGACTTTTGAGGTCTCACTCTTTCCTTCCCAGGGCAGAGGCAGGGCCATGGGCCTTGGGACACTAGGCAAAAACAGCCAGCAGGTAGGCAGGCCTGATTTCCCAAGCACACAATTGTGAAATATATTGCCCACCCACCATGCATAGAGCTTCTTAAGAACTCCACGGAAGAGATCAGCAGAGTGTGGAGCTGAGTGGGGCAGTGAGATGCTGCCCCTGGGGTATCGCACTGGCTGAGGAGAGTGACTATCAGAGCTGACAGAGTTGCTGTAGGGGCCTACCTTGTCTTCTACCCGGTGCAGACGGGCACCAATGGTGTTGCTACCACGGTCCTTGCTCTTCTCTGTGGGGTAAAGCACAAAGTCAGGGGTATGGGCTGTGGGTGTGGGCTTGGGAGCCTGGATGGACCCTAAGGAGCAGGAGATGGGAGAAGTGGGTAAAGACATCCTTTACAATTAATTCTCTTGTGGTTAGAACAGCAGGGTCAGGGCAGGAGGAGGCACTATAGTGGCAGAGTGAAGCTGGGGTCCATCCTTGCTCCTCCCAGCTTTGGAACCCCTGAGAGTCTTCCAGGAGGGACAGAACACTCTCTGTTCAGGGAGTGACTCAACGGGGTTGGGCTTGGACCCATCATCAGGCCAGGGTATCTGCTGTCTCAGTGGTCCCCAGCAGTGGATTATGCCCCACAGTCCTGTTTGGACCTCAGCTAGCACTGTCACTAGGGATAATATGCCTTGTATTGTCTTTCCCTGGTGTGGCTTAGCCCCTTGTCCTGAGGACCTGAGGGTTCCCACCAAGCCAAGGGGGCTAGAGGGTTCCCAACTAGCCCACACAGTACCATTGTACATCCCCGCACACCTGAGCCAGGAAGGACCCCCATCATGTCCTCCGAAACTCTGGGCTGACTGCTTGTCTGACCCATGCTCCACACCAGGCCTTCCATCACAGGAAAATGTGCCCTTGGCTCACACTGCCATACCCAGAGTCTGACCATGAAGCTTTAGAAATCTGTCATTTAAAGGGACACAGCAGGTCCTGCCCTCACCAAAACATTCCGTTACACGGCCCATTACACGGCCCATTGACAGACATGCCTAGCATGGGTCTACCTGTTCCTTCAAGCTTCTACACAAGGGGCCCTAGTGGCCTGTTGTGATGAAGAGGAGAGGCAGATGGGGCAAAGGGGTGAGAGGGTGAGTCAGTCATGGGTTGCCCTGTCCAGGTACCAGTGCAGACACCCACCTGAGATGGGGATGAACAAAGATGGCTTTCCAATGGACTGGTCCAGCCTGGGAGAGAAGAGAGGGACACCAGTTCACACAATGCCTGGCGTACCACAAAGACAGACCATTGTGTCTAGGAGGACAGCATGACACTCACGCCAGTCTTCCATTGCCACTCCAAGACCTGCCAAGAGGCACCCAAGACCCTGTGGCCCATGCTCTTGAGAGGGCCAGGCAGAAAGTTCAAAGATGAGGGGCAGAAGCTGGGGTGCTTAGACTCTTTCCCTGGATGAAATGAGTGGCGTCAAAATGGGAGTCCCTGAACCTTTGACCTTGTCTATGGAAGGCACAGTCACATTCTCCCAGCTGCACCCCATGATATACACAGAGCTAGGTTTGCAAGCTAGCCCACCAAGCTAGCCTTCTAGGTCCAAACCTGTGTTGGGCCTAGGGACCACATTGCTCTGATGGAAATAGGATCCAAGCCAGAATCCCAGACCATGTTGGCTCTGAACGATCAGGATCCTTAGCTCCACTCCAGTGGCAGGAAGATCCATGGATGGAGGCTAACTCAGGGGTGGGTCTCAGTAAGAACTCTTGCTTTCCCTGCGAGGCTGGGGCAGGGCCTCCCGGGGCTGTGTCTCCACACCCATTCCTGTGCCTACCTCCTCTGTAGCTCTTTGATGCGCACCATAAGGTTGAGATGGCCCTGAGAGTACTGCTCGATGACATCCCGCACATCATAGGGCTTCCGTGCTTGCTGCAGGTCAGAAAGACACATGTCACTTTCCCCTGAGTCCTGTAGGCTCAGTTCTAAATGCAGACAGTGAGGGGGCCAGTGAAAGGGAGGAATGGCTTAGAACATATATAAGAGCAGGCTTGACCCTTGCAGGTTGCCAGTTTAGCCTGTCTGGGCCTTCACTTCCCATCTTTCACCAGTGGGACTAGCCAGCTCCTACCAGTCTACTGGCCCTGATTCCAAGTCTCCTCAGAAAGAGCTGGTCTAGCAGACCAGAGACATGGTGCTGCATCTCCACAGTCTATCTGGGCCCTAGACTGACCGGTGACACGCTTGCTGCTTCTCTGGGTAGGGAGCTAACATACCATGTGTTCTAGATGCCTCCAATGCCACACAGACTTCCCCAAACACAGTCAAGCTCTCATTAAGGACCTGCCATGCCCAGGGTCATTCTGGGAACCAAGACCATCACATCTTCTGCAGCCTACATACCCAATGACTGTTATGAGGCCAAGCTCGGGATGGCACTTACACAGATCCTTGGTCCTGTGCATATGTAGCTAAGATAGTCTAAGAACTGCACTTGATAATGTCTCCAGGTCTTATACTCTTCTGTAAGATGGAGCTGTAAGCCCTGATCCTCCCTTCTGTAAGATGAGATTCTGAGCCTTGTTCCTGTCTTCTATAAAACAGGATACTGAGTCTGTTCCTCTTTTCTGGAAAATGGGTTGCTGAGGTCTGCTCTGCTATGTCTAGGAGGGAATGAGAATTAAATAAGATCTAAGGTGAGAAAAGCCAAGGAATCCTGATGCAGCACTTTGTCAGTCAGAGGTGGCAACGACTGAGTCCAGGACCTGGGTCTCTTCTTAGTGCACACGGAAGGTCACCCTCAGTAATGGGGAAGAGAACTTGTGGGCCAAAATGCTTTACAAAGTGTGTGGCACCTCTCGGGATGCCTGGTAATGTCTGGGGATAAGTGAACAAGGGAGGCAGAAACTACAGCGTGGGTCAGCACAGGCCTGGATGAGGAGCAAGACAGGTCCTTATGTTGGTGTATGGACAGTCTGAGAGTCTGAGGGCTACTGTCCCCAAGTGTGCATGAGTACCCTTGTTAGCCTCTTGCAGGCACGCATTTGATCCAGTGTGTGGTGGGGAGGTGTGAGTAATCAGGCCTGCAGGAGTATGGTGGGGGGCTGTAAGCAGGGCACAGTCAAGAAGGATCAGAGAGTCAGCAGAGGTGGCACATGCCTTTAATTCCAGCTCTTGGAAGGCAAAGGCAGATGGATCTCCAAGTTTGAGGCCAGCCTGGTCTACACAGCAAGTTCTAGAACAGCTAGGCTACACACAGACAAACCCTGTCTCAAAAATCTCCCTCAAAAAAAAAAAAAAAAAAAAAAGGAGGAGGAGGAGGATCAGAGATACCCTACCAACCACACATGGCCAGCACTACTCCAGGCCTGCTGAGACTTATCTTGGAGCTGCCAAGCTCCCCTCCAGGATCTGGTTTGGGACTGAGGGGCCTTTGTCAAATATCTGCCTAGAACTAGTGTAAGAGACCATCTCAGCTCTTTCCTAGGGCCAATGTCCTAGGAATGTGGCAACAGGGGCCAGAGATGAGCCAAGATAATGCCGCCTGTCCAGACTGACCAGACTGTGGACGTGGGTGCTCAAGGCAAACTTTCAGGGTTAAGAGGCCCTGGCTCCTCAGGCCAGACACAAGGGCGGCTGGCCAAGGACTTATCGGCCAGTAAGGCAGGCAGGCATGCCTGCATTAAGACCAGCAGGGGAGAGTGGGGAGCAGGTGGGTGCATGGCTGAGACAAGAAATCTGGGTCACTAGGGTGACCTGGAACCCTTGGAGCCCTCCTCACAGGGGCTCCCTCTTCATCTACTTCACTCTTTCTTGGAAGCCTGCCACTACCTGTCCATGTGTCCCTTACTTTTTTTTTTTTTAACTTAGAAGCCTCTGTACCCCACAGGGCCCCTCTGCCACCTGGGCTGAGTGTATAGGGGAGAAGCAGAGAGCAGGAAGGTAGGAGTTGTCTGGCCTGTTCTGGCAGCTTCCTGAGCCACTCTTAGGCTCCAGTGTCCTGAACCTGGATGAAAGTGCGGGGCTCTGGATCTTTTCCTCCTCAGTCTTGCAAACATGTCAACAGGCAGGCCCCTTGTTTGTTCCATAGAGACTGGGTCTGCATGGGCCACTGAATGACCTCTGACTCAAAGGGGGACTGCTTGGAAACCATGAGGGTCTCTGTACTCCACTGGGTATCAAGACTCTAGAAGTTAACCCCGGGAGCCATGGGCCTACCCAGCATAACGGCATAAAACTTAGCAAGCAGGTACTGTACTGTTTCATGTGGAACCTACTCCAACACCTACAGGGCCACTTCTCAGCCTGAGGACTGTCATGCCCTAGCAATTTCTTATGACCCTTTAAACACTAGCAATTTAAGCTACATTGCTTCCCAGTTAAGAGTGCCACACCCCAGCCCCTCCTTTGCTCCCGAGAGACTGTCTTGTCAAGATGTGACTCCCCATGGGGTTCTTGTGGCTCCTTGCCAATCTGGGAAGAGCTGGTTCTACAGGAGGCTGTCTCATCTCCCAGTCACCTTTAGCACCTCAGCAGTGGAACTGTAGGGCATGTGGCTTCTAGAGAGGGGGAGAAACAGCATCAAGTGCAATCTCCATGGAGCCTTTGGACCCTTCGAGGACAGTGCCAGGTGCCTCCTGGATTTAGCCCCTGCTGAGTGTGATCCTTATTCCTTTTGACAATATGAGGTCCCTAGCTGTGGTGGGAGCTTGGGCATAACTTGGTCTACTTGAGTTGTGACAGTACCAGGGGGTCCAGGCTAATAAGTGGGTAGCAGAATGCCACCATGGTACTGTTGAATGGGCACAGGATCCCTCCAGTGATCCCTAGTGAGTAGCTAGGTGAGAAGCCACATGCTGTTCTCATTAGTGTCAGGAGCTTGGCTGGAGGGCCAAGGGCCTTGGCCATCCCAAGGGCTGTTCTTGGGCTGGAATAGCAACAGTTGAGGAGCTGAGGACTACTGTGAATGAGACTCATGTCACCAAAACTCTTCTCAATACAGTGACGATAACCTGGAATGGGAACTGTGTCTTAGCCCCTATCTCTCACAGAGTGTGGAGGTTTCAGCTGCTCCAGGGATGGGGTGGGGGCTGTGTTGAGGGGACAGTAGGAGCCTGTGTCAATCCCATGGCCTGGTGTGGAAAGTATGGCCTATAACAAGACACAGGGCTACCACTGAGATTGTCCTTGGAGACTAAGGTGGGTTACCCCAAACCTTTTCTCCCCAGGGACAAGGGCCTTGTGGTAAGATAATGCCCTCTACTCCTTGCTGCTTCTATTGACATGTTCTCAAAGTGAGGAGTAAGGCTCTGTCCTCCCCATGACTGCTGCTCACAACTGTCCCATAGCAGAGGAGGAACACAGCTTACTACCTTATTCTCCGAGAGCCCTGGACTCAGGGCCTCAGGACAACAACTCTGGAGGTGTGCTGACAGCAAATGGATCCCAGAGCTGCAGTCTTGCCTGCCCAGGAGTCCCTCAAGCTGGATAAAAAGTGATATCTGTCCTCCTAAGGACAGATATCACTTTTTATCCAGGTGACACTGACAGGTTCTAACTTTCACAGCCTTGCACAGAAGGAGGAGTTAGGCCATGAAGTTCCTTCTAACAATCAAGGTGGAGGGACAAAGGGTCCCTGGGCCAGGGCTGGGTCCGGTGTCCTTGAAGGAACCTGCTGTGTTGGGGAATGGTGAAGACCCAAGGACTACAGTCACAGCATCTTGGCATCTAAGGGTGAGGGCATACAACAACTGTAGTCTTCCTGGGGTCAGTTGCACTGGACATGATCTCACCTGGAATTTCTTCTTGGCTACAAAGTACTGCATGCGCCTGATCACCTTGATGGTGGCCCGATGGTGTTCCCGAAGCCTGTGGAGGAGGGGAGCAGTATGAGCAGCTTTCATGATGGTAATCCCTTAACACATGCCAAAGGTACCCCAGCCAAACATGGATGGACTCTCCGGGAACAAGGAGAACGTTCTATCCAGAGCTTGCCCTGTCTCTAGAGAAGCGGGAGGCTAGGAGTTTCTAAAGGAGAAAGGGAGGGTTGCTTCACCACAGATGGGGAGAAGGGAAGGACCCTTTACCCACTTGTATTTCAGAACTGGGGTGGGTGTCTGTATCCCTACTTTGCAAGGGTTGCAATTCTAACAGGAGAGTCAGGGAATGCCCTTGGAGAGGGTAGGACCACAGTGCCCTCATTAACACAGGGTAGGTGTTAATGAGGGCACTGTTCCCTGAGATTGTTCAGGATTCTTCACTAGTTTGCCTCTAAAGCTCCTTCTAGAAATAAGGTCCTTTTAGAAACATCACTGGAGAAAGCAGGCCTGGGATCAGATGTCTGTGTGCACAGAAATAAGACTGGAAGGCATCAGGGCAATGGAGAAACCGGGAGAGTCTGGAAGCTCAAATTTGACCAGCCAGACTAAACCGCATTGGCAACAGAGAGCTGCTGGGAGCCTCTGGGAAAGCTAGACTTGAAGGGCCCCGAGCCCAGAAAACAAGAGGCAAGAGGAAGCCAGCCTACCCTCCAGGCTGCACTTCCTTCTCAGAGAAGTGTGGGAAATGTCTACACCAGATGGGATGGTGGGGCTTCCTGGGCTGTGAGGAAAACAGCGGAGCCTGGGCTACAGAGCCACCAGGATGCAAGTGACAGGACTCCAGAGAACAAAGGCTATCAGGGTATCTTTTTTCACACAGCTCCCCCTTGGAAATAGCTGTGGGTTCTCACAGAGCAATAGGGGCTGCTGGGAGGGAGTGAAAATAAAGCAGCAAAGCCAGCAGGCTCTTGCTACTGAGGACAGCAGGCTTGGGATTCAGACCAGTCTAGGATGGGGCCCCAGGAAACAGCCAAAAATGTTGGTTGAGGTCCCCTCAAAACCTCAAACCCAAACTAGTCCAGAATTCTTTTTCATATTAGAGGAAAACCTAATCATCTGTACAGAGATATCTTGGAACTTCTGGGAGTTTTTTTTTGTTTTGTTTTGTTTTTTTTGCTTTGCTTTGTTTTATCCACATATAGAAGTTGAAAATTAAGGGAAAAAACAGATCCTAGATAGAGATCTGCAGGTGTGATGCATTCTGCAATCTTAGCTGTTAAAGCCTCAGGAGATAGTTGTTTTCACACTGTTTGAATTTGAGCTGACCTTGTGACCTAATGTTAGCTGTAGAGTCCTGGGGAGCTCACCACGTGTGGAAACCACAGGTGTTGGGAGTGTGGCTGGAGTGGTTGTGGGGAGGTGAGTGGAGGTGTCCAGCCATCAGCCAGCACTGATTGTAGGCATGCAACTGAGCCATCTTCGACCACCCGGCCCTAAGCAAGCTACTGGTGACTGGTGCTGCCTGAGTCATCCCAAGCACAACCACAGAACCACCTTCCAGCAGAGCTGAGTCCAAGCTCCTGACCCATGGAGCTGTGAGCAAGACAAATAACTGTTAAACCACAGCATTTGGTTATGGTTTGCTGCTCAGTAATAGGTAGCTGATAAATAAATTAGAAGCTGGGCCCATAATCCCAGATATTTAGAAGGCCGAGGCAGGAGGATCCTAAGCTCAGGCCCTGCGTGGGTAACAGAGTGAACTCAAGGCCAGCCTGAACAGCTTAGTGAGATCCTGCCTGAAGAGATGGCTCAGCAGTTAAGAGTACTTGCTGCTTGTACTTCCAGAAGTCCTAGGTTCAGTTCCCAGCACCCACGTGACACAACAATCATCTCTAACTCTAGTTCCAGGGGATCCAATACCCTCTTCTGAACTCCAAGGACCCCAGGCACACACACACATGATGAACATATATACATGTAGGCAAAACACATATATACATAAGTAAAAACAAACAAAAACAAAAAACTTTAAAAAGTTAAAGTTGTGTTGGTTCATGCCTTTAGTCCCAGTACTCAGGAAGCAGAGGCAGGTGGATCTCTGTGACTTGGAGACTTGCCTGGACTATATAGTGAGTTCCAGGCCAATTAGGACCTCATAGTGAGACCCTGTCTCAAAAAGGGCTGGTGTGGGGCTGGGAACATAGATCAGTGGTAGAAAGCTTTCCTAGCATGAACTGGCTTCAATCCCTAGCACTGAGGAAAAGAGAGAAAGGAAGGAAGGGAAGACGGAAGGAAAGAAAAAAGAAAGAAAGTTATTAATTAGAATTCAGAGGTGGGACATTGTGACATCAACCTTGTATAATATTTGGCATTGATTTTAGGACCAGAAAAAAAAAAAGGCAGATGACAGAAGACTGGGACATGTGGTGTTGTCTGCAATCGGTGAGACCTCCAAGTGTGCTGGAGGGAGAAAGAACTTTGTTTTAGGGAGGAGTATGGAAATAGTGGCTGCTAAAGATAGCTGAAAATCCCTCTTTGTTCCTGCCATTAAAGATCCGAGTCTGTTTCCACCACAGGGCTGTAAGCTTCAGCCTCAAAAGACCTGCAGATTTCACTTTTACCCTCTCAGAAAACGTCTGCCTCCTGGACAAGTCCGAGCTAGCCTGTTGGAAAAGCTGAGTGAAGGAGGAGAGTTGAAGGGTTCGGATGACAGCTGACAGCTTCAGGCATGTGAGGCTGACACTGCTCAGCCACCAAGTGAGAGTTCTGCCCCCGGGAGTGCGCCCAGCAGAGCAGTCCAGAGTCTGACCTACAGAGTCATTGGTAGATAGATGACTGTGGTTTGTATCAGGCTCTCTAGATGAGAACTTTAAGATAACTGTGATGGATAGAGTCAAGAGAATAGATGAAAAGATGAGGGATTTCACCATATGATAAAAGTTATCTCCAAATACCAAAAAAGAAATTCTATAAAAGTCAGGCATGGTAGCACATGCCTGTCATTCCAGCACTTGGGAAGTAGAGGCAGGAGGATCAGGAGGCTCAAGGTCATCCTTGGCTACATAGAGGTTTGAGGCCAGCCGGGGTTACCCGAGATGCTGTCTCAACCTCATTCTATGATTCCCTCTAAAAAAAAAAATGAACAAATAAATACAAATAAATGAATACATAAAAGAAAAAAGAAAAAGAGAGAATGAAAGGGCAACACAAAAGTAGAAATTAAGAATGCAATAGGTGGTTTGATAAAAGAGACAATGCAGTAAAAAAAAAAGAGAGAAAGAAGAAAAATAGTAAGAAAAAATGGGTAAGAATAAGATGGTAGAGAATGTACATTTAAGTGAATTGATATTCCATTAAATAGATCAGGACTGTCAGTCAGGATTAAAAACAATGACATGAACTCACTAAAAGCATAAACAAAGAGAGACTGAAAAGAAAGGGGCAGAGAAACAGGTGTCCTAGCATAGCTCTCTAAACACAGGCATCTGCAAACCAGCACCAGGCACTCCAGAGCCAGACAAAGAAGATTGCAGAGTTACAAAGTATCAGCTCAGGGCTAGCTGGTAAAGAGCTTGTCTTACAAGCACAAGGACCTGCGCTCCTTTCCCAAGAACCCACATTAAAACAAAAACAAAAACAAAACAGTATAGTAGAATAGCATGTGTTTGCAATCCTGTGATTGGAGAGTGGAGACGGGAAGATCTCTGGGGCTCACTGGAGGGCCATCCTAGCTCACTTGGCAAATTCCAGGCCAGTGAGAGACACTCTCAAAAAAAAAAAAAAAAAAAAGTGCACAGCAGCATTTGGCATCTGTGGCTTTCCAGGGTTTTTACCCACACCTATATAAAAAAAATGTCAGTTCAACAGGAGAAGATCAATTCCAAATCTGCATGCACCTACAAATAAAACCTTAAAAAAGATATAACATACACATATATAACATATAAAGCAAACTGGGAGAACAAAATCATAACAGAAAATCTATAACCATAATGGGAGATTTGAACATCTCTCCTTGGTTATGGATTGAAAAGATGCCAAAGCATCAACAAAGATAAATATGAACAATCTGAGTGTCAGTCCACCCTAACTGACATGGACAAAACCACACCATTGCAGGCCAGCACATATAAGTATTTATACAGATACTAAGTGTTAGGTTTTAAAAGCAAGTTTCAACAAATTTCAAAGAAATTAAATCATTTTCTGCATGACCACAATAAAATTAAACTACAAATCAAAAATACTACTAGGAAATCCCCAAGTGCTTTGGAAATTAAATGATCTAAGTAACCCAAGGTTGAAGAAAAAGAATCTTAGATGAATTAGAAAATAGTTCTAGTTGAATAATAAAAATGTATCAAAAGTTACAGCTAAATTGAGTGTGGGGCATACACCTATAATCTCAGCAACTCAGGAGGTCAAGTCTTGAAGATTACAAGTTGGAGGCCAACCTGGGCTGCTTAGCAAGATGCCATTCTTGAAAACGGCAAGATGGCTCAGTGAGTAAGGGTACTTGCTGCCCAGTCTGAAGACCTGAGTTTGATCCCAGTACTTGCATGGTGAAAGGAGAAAAACTAACTCCCAAAAGTTGTCCTCTGACCTCCACATATGGGCCATGGCACATGCACTCCCCCCACATACACATATAAATAAATGTGATAAAATTGTGCTTCCAAAAATATAATTAAACAAATGTTGGAGGTACACGGAAATATGGACACTGAGGGGAATATAATATACGGCCTTAAATGTGTTTGCTAGAGGAGAGGCTGAGATCCAGCTCAAATTTAAAAAAAAAACCACACACACACACACACACACACACACACACACACACACACACACACAACACAAAACAAATTTAAACCTGAAGGAAGTAGAAGGAAAGAGATAATAAAGATAAGGCTGTAAGTTGATGAAATAAAAAATGAATGTTGTAGTAAAGAAAATCAACAAAGTTAGCATTTGGCTTTCCAACGAGACTAATAAAATTGATAAAACTTTTAGCAAGATAGATGGAGCTGGGTGAGGGGGATCACAAATCACCAATGTTGGGAGTTAAAACATGAACACCACTGTGGAGCTACAGACATTAAAAAAAAATCTATCAGAGGATGATATGAACAAAAACAATTTTGATAATACAGATAAAATAGATTAACTCATCAAAACGTGTTTTAAGAAAAGAATAAATACAAACTGCCCTATGTTAATGGAATTACACTTGGAATTTTAACGATCTCTACAAAGAAGTTGGTCTAAAAAAAAAAGTTGGTCTAGATGACTTCACCAGTGCGTTCTTCCCAACACGTAAGGAAGAAGTTCACAACTATATACAAAGCTTCTTACAGGGCTTTTATGAGGCGGTCTAACCTTGATATCCAAATCTGCCAAAGATATTCCTGAAAGAAAACTGAAGGGTAAGGTCTGTCTTGGATGTGGAGGCAGCCTTTAAAAACCAGCAGCCAGTGAGATCCAGGGTTCACGTCAAGATGCAGGATCATCGCTGGCTTCATCCACTTATGCAAGGCTGGCTTAGCATTTGAAAATCAATCAACAGAGCTCACCACATCAACAGAACAGGGAGAAACATATAATCAACTCAAAAGATGCAGAAAAGCACTTGATAAAGTTCAAGGCCTACTCCTAATTAAAAACACAACTCCTAGCAAAGTAGGAAACATAATTAAAAAAAAAAAGAACAAAAATGAAAATTGAAACAAAAAATCCTAAATACTAAGCACACATCATGTTTAATGATAATGTTAAATCACTTTGTTGCGGAGATGGTATGTCCCCTATTTTCTAACAATGTCCATAAAGTCCCAGCCTGTGCATGAAGGTGAGAAAAAGCAGGATTGACCTGGCAAAATGGTTCATTGGGTAAAAGGGCTTGCTATTAACCTGGTGACCTGAGTTCAACCCGCAGAACCCATACATTAGAAGAAGAAATTGACTCCCACAAGTTGTCTTCTGACCACACATGTTGTGGCAGGCCCACTCCCCCATATAAATAAAACGTAATTTAACAGTAGAATAAAGCACTTGGGAGTTAGGAGCAAGTGAATCTCTGGGAGTTCATGGCCAGCCTGGTCTACACAGTGAGTCCCAAGATAACCAGGGATACATAGAGAGACCTTGTCTGAAAAAAAAACAAAACAAAACTAAACAACAACAAAACAAAACAAAAAGAAAAAAAAAAGAATTTAAAAAATGAATTTAGCAGAACCCTGAACTTGCTGGGTGTGGACATGGTAACTCATATCTGTAACCCCAGAAATCTGGGGGTCAAGAAATGAGGATTGGAAAAGGGGGCAAGCCTGGTTCTACTAAAAGTTGAAAGTTAACAATCCATTATCTTTCTATCTGCTAGCAACAAATAATTAGGTCACAAAATAAAGACACTAACTTTTATAGTGTCAAAGTTACTACAGCCATTTAAATTGCTCACAGGTGAGGCCTATAGGCAGACAA